TCTGGATGGTCCGCTCAGTCTGTCCGTCATTCTGAGGGTGATAGGTTGTACTCAGTCTCAACTGCATACCAAAAGCCTCCTGCAGCGCCTCCCAGAACCGAGATGTGAACTTCGGGTCCCTATCACTGATGATACTCTCGGGAATCTCGTGAAGTCTCACAATCTCGCGAACGTATAGTCTGGCCAACTGCTCAGTAGTGAAGCTCACCTTCACCGGAAGCAAGTGGGCAGACTTGGTCAATCTGTCCACAATGACCCAGATAGAGTCGCAACCAGCCTGAGTCTTCGGCAATCCCACCACGAAGTCCATGGAAATGCTATCTCATTTCCATTCCGGAATCTCAAGAGGTTGAAGCTTTCCAGACGGCCTCTGGTGTTCTATCTTTACCTTATGGCAAACCAAACACTTGGATACAAAAACAGCTATGTCCTTCTTCATGCCCGGCCACCAATAATTCCTCTTCAAATCTTGATACATCTTTGTAGCGCCAGGGTGGACAGTAAACTGGCCCTTATGAGCCTCTGTCCTCACCTCAACAGTCAAAGGACCTCGAGGAACCAAAATCCTCTTCTGAAAGGTCAACAGTCCATTCTCATTCCAAGACACATCGTCCTGGTTCTTCACATAATCTAGGCACTCTCTCTGCACTTGCGCCTCTTTGATCTTTTCCATGAGCTCATTCTCAACTTGCACGATTTTCATTTCGAGAAGTGCACCTCCAAACAAAGAGGTCACCGTCAGATCTCGAAACTGCTCGATGATATCATAATAACCCATGGTCAAACTGGATAGGCTCACGGATTTCTGACTCAAAGCATTAGCTACCACATTGGCCTTGCCAGGATGGTACTTCAACTCAAAGTCGCAATCCTTCAGATACTCCATCCATCTCCTCTGTCTCATGTTCAGCTCCTTCTGATCAAACAAATATTTCAAGCTCTTGTGATCACTGAACACAGCAAACTTCATGCCATAGAGATGATGCCTCCAAATCTTGAAAGCAAACACAATCGCAGCCAACTCTAAATCATGAGTCGGGTAGTTCTCCTCATGAGGCTTCAACTGCCTCGAAGCATAGGCAATTACTTTGCCCAACTGCATCAACACACATCCGAGCCCCTTTCCGGAGGCGTCGGTGTACAACTCAACTTCCTCAGCAGGATCAGGAAGGACCAACACAGGTGCGGTAGTCAATCTCTTCTTTAACTCCTGCAAACATTCCTCACACTCGTGAGTCCACACAAATGGGGTCTCCTTACGGGTAAGACGAGTCAATGGAAGAACCAGCATGGAAAATCCCTTGATGAACCTCCGGTAGTACCCTGCCAAACCCAGAAAACTCCTAACTTCGGTTACCGTCTTGGGCCTTTCCCAATCTAGCACGACCTCAATCTTGTTAGGATCCACTGCGTCTCCCTCTGCAGAAATCACATGCCCCAAAAACTTTACGGACTTGAGCCAAAATTCTCATTTGGAAGGCTTAGCATAAAGCTTTTTTCTTCTTCAGCACTTGCAACACAATCTTCAAGTGCTCAGCATGTTCCTCCTCAGTCTTGGAGTAAATCAATATGTCATCAACGAAGATGATCATAAACTGATCCAGGTACGGCTGCAAAATCTTGTTTATGTAATCCATGAACACTGCGGGTGCATTGGTAAGTCCAAAAGGAATCACCAAATACTCATAGTGATCGTATCTTGAACGAAACGCGATCTTCGGGACATCTTCCGACTTCACCCGAATCTGATGGTATCCGGACCGGAGATCGATCTTCGAATACACACAAGCTCCCTTAAGCTGATCCAACAGATCATCAATACGTGGAAGGGGATACTTGTTCTTGATCGTCACCTTGTTCAGCTGTCTGTAATCGGTGCACAATCGCATAGTCCCATCTTTCTTTTTTACAAAAATGACTGGTGCTCCCCATGGAGACACACTCGGTCGAATGAAGCCTTTCCCTAAAAGGTCCTCAATGTGCTTCTTCAGCTCCGCCAACTCTGGTGGCGACATCCGATACGGAGCCAATGAAACGGGCCCCACACCAAGCAATAAGTCAATAGAGAACTCTATCTCCGTCTCCGGTGGAAACTCAGGGATGTCCTCAGGAAATATCTCGAGGAATTCCCTCACCACAGGAATGCCAGCTAATCCTCCTGTGACCCACTCACCAAACCTCCCAACATGACATAACCAAATGCCCCTGCCCTCAAGGCTCTCCTAGCCTGCAGTAATGAAATAAAAGGCGAGGAACTGGTTGTGGCATCACCCGGAGACATTACAACTCGCTTGACAACAGTCAATCAATGCACAATTTCTGGACAACAATCCATGCCCAGAATAATCTCCAAATTGCTCATCGGCAATCCTATCAGATCTACCGAGAACTCATGGTCATCCCACTGAAATGCTACATCGTGATGAACAGTGGTAGAATCACATTTTTCTCCAGTGGCGGTGGTCACCCGCAACAGTGGAGAAAGAACAGACCTGGGCAACTCAAGCCCCACAGCATTCGGGGTTGCAATAAAGGAATGCGTAGCCCCGGAGTCAAACAATACATCAACAGAAGATCCACTAATGGAAACAGTACCTCCGACAAGGTTCAGAGCTCGGTCCGACTGTTGCCGATCCAAAGTGTAAACTCGCCCCGTGGCAGGTGGCACAACAGGTGCCGCTGTAGGTGGAAGGAGAACCATCTGTAATGGAACTGCCCGAACGGCTGCAGTTCTCGCGGTAGACGACAGACACTCTCTAGCATAGTGGCCCTCCTTGCCACACTGGAAACATATGGTCTAGCCTGTAGCACACGGCCCCAGATGAACCCTCCCACATCCTGAGCATCTGGGAGTAAGAGGTCTCGCGGTACTCCTTGGAGCAGAAGTCCTCTTAAACTGATTTGGCGCTTGCCTAGCCGCCAACTGCTTTCCTTGCCATTCCCGGCAAACTTCCTGTCTCTCCAAGAAGTGGAACTATCAGTTCCCTTTGTCTTAGCAATCTTGGCCCTCTTGTCCTTACTCGTGATGCAGACATCCTCAATGTCCTTACACTGCTGTACCAGTGTACCAAAATCTCTCGATGCAGCTCCAGCAATATGCTCTGCATTTGAGTCAATTGACTAATATAATAGGCATGATAAAAGATAATACTTATTTGTTCTTTCATTGTAGAGCAGTTTGGTTATGGATAACCATGGATAACAAATTATTTTTATGGTTTGGAGAATAACCAGTTTATAAAATAAAATGCAGTTTCATATGAAACCGATTTTTAAAATGTGGAGCAGTTTGATTATGGATCGATTTGGTTCTTTTGGATATTTTGAACACCCATACATTCAACATGTAAATTGAAATTTTCTTACACATCCTTTGATTTTCGCGCTGACGTGGGTTCTACACATAATTTTTTCTAATATATAGGTCTCACATGCTTTTCGTCTCTACATCATAAGATTTCAATTCTTACGTAACTTGAGAATTTTAAAACCCATTTCGTCTCTACAATATAGGAAATTCTTTAGCCTCTTGAATCAGTTTAACTGTAGTGATGTGATTTTGATAACCTCTCGATCTACTTAAATTGTTATATTTATGCGGGGATCGATGTTATAATGCTCAAGATAATATTGAAATAGTAAAAGGAACTCATTCTCACCCAAATTAAGTGAGACTCCCTTAGATGTTTTGCTTAAACCGAAAGAGATTAGTTTCGTTTAAATTGGGTGAAATTAAGTATAATAAATCTATAAATTGGTTCAAAATGACTATGTTATTGAGATTTTTTTATTAAAATAATAATATACCAATTTTTTTTTACCTAATTGGATGCGTATTTACTAATTAACCACAAGAAAAGCGATAAATAACTCTTATATGTAGTTGTTCATATTTTCTAGAATTATGGGAATTCGATATACTGGAAGAAAAAAAAACTAAATAATATTTTGCAACGATATATGTGATACAAAAGATAAATCAATTACCTATTTTACCAAAAAAAAGCGGTCATCTACATTATGTTAAATAAAAAATTATAAAACAATAAAATAGATTATAAAATTAGAAAAAAAGTAATCTTAAAAGATTACATGCAATATTCTAAATTGTTTCAAGATATAATTTTAATATTATTATATATTTAATTTTTTATTTTCTGCTTTTTAACCTGATTGAATCCTACAATTCACTATTATAACATTATATAATTACACATTATTGACCCTCTCTAATTCTATCATAATTTAAAAAAAGTTATCATTTTATAACCGTTGATTTACTTTTATATAGTTGTGATCTTCTCACATGACCATGTCATGTTTTTTTCACATTAGAGGATCCATTTCCAACAACATGGTTGGTTCAAGAAATTTTGTTGAGGTTAGCTATGAAATCTCATATTTCTCATGAAATTATTAAAACTTTGGTATCCCCAAAAAAAATTAAAGATTAAATAAATATTTCATAATGATGTGATATAATATGATAAAAAAGACAAAATAATTATTTTTATTTATACTAATTACAGATCTAAAAATAAAAAAGTTATAAAATATGAGAAAATATAAAAACTAATCCTAAAAATATTTATGAGATAATTTAAATTATTTTAAGAGATAAATTATTCTATTTATTTTTCTTTTCTACCCATCTTTCTCTACCATAATGTCATTTGAGCGAATCTCAATTACCTTTAATATTAATATGCAAGAAAAAAATATTTGTCTTTTAAAATGACATAACTTGTGTCTTTCCTCTCTCACAAAAAAGTGAGATCAACATCTTTATATTTTTTTATTCACTCACTTCTCTTTTATCTATCTATTTCTCTTATTCAAAATGACATAATTTCATATGATTAAATACACACTTTTTCTTAATATATAATATTAATATTACATGATATTGTAATTTCCAACTCAATCCGCGTTCTCAGCGTATTTGGTGCATACATATCATACTCAATAAATTTCATACCCAATCTCTTAGTTGAGTAATCTAAACCCTAAATCCCCTTCGAATAAAAAACGGGAAAAGAAGGAGGAATGGAGAGTAAGCTTTCCTGGGATGTGATTCAGGAAATCCTGTTGAGATTACCTGTGAAATCTCTTGTTCGATTCAAGTGTGTGTGCAAATCGTGGCTTTCTCTGATCTCTGACTCTCAATTTGCAAAATCCCATTACGAGCTATCTGCCGCACCCACCCACAAGCTTCTCCATGTAACACGTTCTGGTTCCGAAGCTCGATCGATCGATTTTGATGCTTCGCTTAACGATGATTCTTTCGTTGTAAGCCTCGTTCCCCCATTTCCAAAGCCAGGTAAATATGCTCCTCATGTTTTGATTTTAGGTTCATGCCGAGGGTTTGTCCTTATAGAAAGATATTCAAAATTTTATATTTGGAACCCATCAACTGGTTTCCACAGAGAACTATCATACTCTGATATAGGGCAACAATGTCAAACTGAGGACAAATTTCTAACTGGTTTTGGGTATGACCCATCCACCGATGATTATTTGGTAGTTGTACTCTGGGCTAAGTACTACGTCAACCCCACCATTGATGATAATGGTGATGATGATGTTGATATTAATGTTAAGGTAGACCGTTTGGTGCTTTTCTCTTTGAGAACCAATTCATTGAAAGAAATTCAGGGGCCTCATCTTCCCGACATGTATTCTCACAGTCAACCATTGTTCTTTAATTATGCTATTCATTGGTTGGCTTCCGGTTATAATTCATTTGTAATTCTTGCCTTTGATATGGTAAACAACAATTTCTTTGAGATATCTATGCCCGATGGTTGTTCAACAGATGACTTATATTTTTGTAAATTGGGAACGATGGGAGGATGTCTCTGCTTATGTCATTTTGACGATACTAAAACTAAGGTGTGGATTATGAAAGAATATAAGGGGGCGTTTGGTACAGGAGAAATTTTTATTTGTCCGGGAATCTCGATTTTCAAAAATATGATTTTTGCATTCAGTTTACGATAATATCTGAAAATTTAAAATTTAAAAAAATTCAGTTTCCCGAGAATCCCTCAAAATTCCGCGTACCAAACGCCCCCTAAAGTGCAGTCATCTTGGACTATGCTTGAGATTCCTGGACACGTTTCCGCTGTATGCATGGCCAAAGATGGTGAACTTGTTGCATTACGCTTTGATGATGGAGAACTGATGAAATTTAATGACAAAGGAGAACTGCTAGAACGTTGTGAATATTGTTCTGATGATCTGAGTGGGTTTGATACAGTTATGTATAGGGAGAGTCTACTTTCGGTCCCTCATGGACAAATGGAATCTCCATCAATAGAAGCACATCAGAACGAATATGAATGCTGAAATTGATTTCATTTCAACAATTTCTGTAGGGAACACTGTTATTTTCCAACTTCATAGCTTAATTATGGAAACATGGTTTGTTTGATTTGTTCTTATTATCGTAGCATTATGTTTTCTTCAATATAACTTTCAATATGTACATTGTTTAGTTAGTTATACTCCCTGATTTCTGCATCATAGCATGCAGACTGAAATATGGGGTCTGAAAGAACAAACATGGATTGAAAACTTAATTGAAAAAAGTTAAAATGAAGAGGACAATGACAAGTAGACCTTTTATTTATTTATTATTTTATCATTTTTTGCCAAGTCATTTACAAGCATGCTGCAAATATCTAACCATGCATTTCTTATGCGTCTGACTCAAGTCTAGGATCGTAGCATAAAGAAGGAGCCAAAAAGATATAAGAACAAAGGTTGCTATGTAGTTTACACAAATACTTTTTAAGATGGTAAATTTGCTTTGCTTCATAGAAAGGGACATCATTTTTTACATTGTCACGTTATATAACTGTATGCCACTACAAGTTAAGCTAAGCTCGTTTTTCACTTCATGTCATTCACAAAAGAAACTGTAAAAGCTTATCTGAATTACGCTATTCTCAACAAGTTTTGTTCCTGTAATTTTAGAAGCATCTGCAGGAGCTACTTAAGATGGAGCAATAGATCTAGTAGCTGCTGTATAGAAAATACATTGAATGGGATAAGGTGCAGGAGCTACACAGTGCACAAAGGACACAAAACAAATTTCAAATACATCAAATAAAGAAAGTACATTGAATGGGATAAGGTGCAGGGGAGAAGATTACTAGGATATTATTTTATCTCATTATTGTAATACCTTTGTGTAGGCATGTCCATAAATGTGTTTATAGCTCAAATGTTAGCTTTAGTTGGGGAATGCTCCTCTTGCTTAAAATTTCTAGTGCAGCAGCTTCATTCACAACTCTTAAGCTTCCCTCCCTAGTTTCACAGAGCCTCCTGGCATCACACTTAGATATATGCTGACTAACATCTATTTTTTGAGCTCTACGTGATACAGCCAATGCCACAAGAATCTGCATAATCAAACCCAGTTTTTAAAATTTACTAGCAACTGACAATTTCCCTGAACCGCTTGAATGTTTCCCAATAGTCCCCCCTTTTGAAATGGATATGGAGGGTCCAAATTGATAATATCTTGGTTCAATAGCCTTCCGAGCCTTTTCTGGTTGGTCTGTTTGATGAGAAAAACAAAACTTGATTTTCTACTAACAACAATTTCTCTAACCACAACAGCATCCCTATCATGTGGGTCAAGCATCCACAAGGACAAAGCAGTGCAGTTCATGGATGAAAATCCATCTTCGTATCTTTGAAGTTGACTTATCAAGTCTTCTCCTTACACTGCCTTGTAGGTCTCCCTGAGTTATTTTTTCAAGCTGGGTTAGGCAAGCCAGAGTTGGAATTAGTTGGCTGAAACCCCAAAAAGAATCATGAATTTTCTTGCAATCAAGTTCAAAATTGTGGTTTACCATGATTATAATATGGGTAGCCATATGAGGAAAACAGTGGAGTGGTTCCTTGGTTCATGTAGATAGTTCAGCTGACATGTATTCAAGCAGCCATTACTTGAAGGGTAAGGCAGGAATCCTACATTTTGTGCATTCCATGGAAAGAAAAATGGTATATGGTGGAATCATCATTCACTAAATGTTATAGGGTGAGCTTCAAAGTTCAAAAAGCTAAGGGCAAGTGCATTTCAGTTGATGGTGATGTGTAACGCAGGATGCACTTGTTTATGCATGCCATGTGAAGTTTATTTTTTAGCTGAAATTTTTGTTAACGTCTAAGTAAGACTATGGGTGCAGCATGCTATCTTTTCAGAAGCAGAATAAAAAAGTGATCCCCATATCTGTTGAGGGGAGGTTGTATTCGGGTTGAGTCTTGTCAAAAGGCTCAGTGTTGTTTACAGTTTGCTTCTTGTTGTCAACAAAGACGTATACTTTGTCTGAATCTATATTTGATCTGCGGTTGCGTTATTTTATTTGTTTAGTTAAGTCCCATGTCTCTAACAAGTGCCTAAGGGGTTTCTTAGGCTTAAAATGCACCCTTCCATGGTAGGGATGGGGCCTATCTTGATGCAAAAGAGGCACCCCATTGAATTTCCTAGCTGAGCATTTTCAGATTCTGCTAAGTCCTTACCAGTGTGTTAAAGAAAGCTCAAAGCTATAGTGTTTGCAGGTCAAGAATGACGCCATTATCTTCTAGGACATTGTTTTATAATAGGAACGGATGAAGGGAGTCTCAAGTACTTAACTGAGGAGAGATTGATCGCTGAGGACTTGGAAGGATGTGGAAGTCTTCAAAGAGCAATTTCCTTCATTTCACCTCGTTGGCAAGGTGAATCTTAATGGGAGAGTGATAGGGTCCCTCGGAATTGGGAGGCAAAATTAGTTAGGAGGAACATTATATTGATGCACATTATATATGATTATTTTGTTATGCCTTGTATCATGTATAAACTGTAATGAAAATTTTAAGAGACATGTTCAGATAAATATTGTTAAACTGTCAACTTTAGATAGCATTAGTTTGTAAGGTGAGACTGAGATATCTTTTCAATAATCATGGTCTGCGATGTATTGATAAATTCATGTTTTACTAACAATATCAATCTGAATGTAAGTAAAATATGAGATAAATTTACAACACGCTATAGTGTAATTTTTTCATCAGATCCTGTTATTGTTACAATGAAGAAAGAATGTCTTCGTCGGGAAATACAAATGGCTGCATAGAGGTTTCTTCCTTGTCAAATGGCGAGTGTGCACCTTCACTCTCTTACGTGGTTGTTTACTCATTCTCAGCGACGTAATTGGCAAGCTCTCTCAAATGAACTTATAAAGAAATGGAACTGTAGTAGATTAAGCAATCCCCTACTTTTGCTCCTCTCAAATTTGGAAGCAGACAAATTAGTCATTAGCATGCAAAAATCCCACCTTTTTATTGGTAAGCAACATGCAAAAATCCCACCTTGGTATGTCACAACTATAAATGCCAGTCATATTTTTTAGACTTTGTATAAAATATGACTTGACTCTTGTGCTTCTTAAGAATTAAGATGAGATGTGTGCGTCACCTTAATTTACTTATTTTTTGCTTAAAGATGAAAAGCTAGCAGGCTGACTCGGGGTTATATAAAAATTAGGAAAAAGTTCAAAAAACTACCATGGTATTATTTTGAATCACTTACATTCGTGTACTTTTTTTTTTAATTACTTAATCCTGTAGTTTTTTTTATCCACACTCTCCTTAACATTATTAGAAAATTAACTAAGTATACCTATTCTACTATTCGTGGAAGAAAAAAACAAAGTGATACAAAAGAAAAAGGAAAATAAGATCAAATATTATGAAAATTTGGAACACTTGATAAAAGACTAAAAAAAAAAAAAGAAAAAAAAAAAATCAAATGATGATAGCTCAGTTGATACATGAGAGTTGAGCATGTGAGCGTGAGAGCATGTATTCAATCCTCAAATAAGAGGTTTAATTAAAGTTTTAATCTTGGACTTGTCCGAACAGAATTGTCTCTCATAGAGAATACAATGTGGTGCATAAAAAAAAATAGAAGAAAAAATATTTACTTTGATTGCAGAAACTCTATACCGGTGTTTACCGATGCGGTGAGAAGAATAATTTCTGTACAGATAGAAATATTTACTTTTCTTCTTATATTAGATTTATTTTTATATATATGTAAAGTTTTATAAAAAAATTCATATTTCAAAGAATTCATATGTTTATTTTCTTTTCCTTTCATATTTGTAGATATTCGCTGTGACTGTTGCTTCCTTTATATTGTAGTAATTAATTACTTTACTATTATACTTTTAGCAGGGATAAGAGGAGGATAATAATGCGAATGAAGACCAAATTATGACATTTAATGGCTGCTTGCTTCGCTTGCTTCAGTTCAAACCAGATAAACTGCAACAAAACTAGAGATAGTGGAAACTATTTTCTTGTAAACTGCTTGCATTTAATTATATTTGTATTGTATGATATTCATTTGATTTTGAGCTTTTAAAATTTTTCACATAGCAAGGAAAATAATATAATGTTTGTGCAAATAGATGTCGGAAGTAGGAGATCATCTTCTGTATATCTGTAGTAGGTACATCTGCCATTTAACAAATGACATTTGGATAAAAAAAATATTTTTTTCTCTTTTCCATACAAGTATGATAGTATTCTATATTTTTTATTAGATAGATGTACTCAATAAATAGTACAGCAGTGGTACCATAAATATTTCCCCGAAGTGGAACCCTACACTTTCTTTGACCAAATTATGAACTTTAATGACAGAAGCCCCTCGCTACTCATGTGCTATCCTCAGCATCAACTAATTCAAACATACACAGTACGACAATTATAGTATCAACAGAACAACTAGGGCTTTTTGACCCTTATGACTCTTAATTAATAATTAATTATCAAATTGCCCTTCATTCAAAACTATTTCGAAAATTTACCCTCCCCAACAAACATAACACCAATCTGCCCCTGTTTGACCGTTGACCACGAAGCCTACCCGGGTACACCATTACCTACCCGGGTAATTTTTAAAAATTTTTATATACTCGAGTATGTAGGGGTGTACCCGGGTAGAGTTCTTGAATCTGGGAAAATGGTTGAATTATTTACCCAGGTATGGAGCAGTGTACCCGGGTAAATCGCGTCCAGAAACCCCAATATGTATGGATTTCGGCCATTGTTGCGAGGTATAGGGTTTTTGAAACCCCAAATCTCTCTCTCTTACCCTCTCTAATCCGAAACATCACACATATTTCATCTCATCATTTCAGAAAGCTGAATCTTGGTGGGACATTGAGATTACATCTCCACACTCCCATTTTGTGCTCAAAAATCCGAACCAACCTCCAAACCCAAAACCTAGATCTAATTTTTGTGTGAAAGATGAGTTCAAGTCCAAACATGGTTCCTATAGTTATTTACTACAATGAGAGGCATTTTGAAGGTCCGAACGGTGTCCGATTTGAAGGAAAAACAAAAACGATGAAAATCAAAGTGGGCACTACATGCAATGAACTGAAGGAGAGAATTCTTCAAAAAATGGGGTCAGAAGGCATACATTCCATCCACCGCATGATAGCCAGGTTAGAGACTGTAGTGGATATGGATACAATATACTACATTGGAAACAATATAAATGATGATGAAGATGTGGAGTTCATAACAGATGCGTTTGTTGAATGGAAAGTATTAAAATATATTGAGATATATGTTGAAGTTGATGTTGGTCAATCTTCATCTTTACTGGTGCATACAACCACTACTGCACACTGTACCGGTCAAGAAGATACAATTGTACGATCTTCTGCACCTCCTCAGGTAGCATTGGAAGAGGATGAAGACGAGGACTATGTGGACAGCGAAGATGAGGGAGAACCTGAAAGTGCTATTCCAGAAGGTGATTCGTCAGACACTGACGTGGACGGTAATTTTGAGGCTGACATGAGCGCCGTAAGTCTGGGTACCCCAGCCTTGTCACCACTTCATGTCGACCCAGTCAGTAGTGGTAAGTTATTAAATTTGAACATTTGCTTTAGACAATTTATTATTTGTGGTGGTATTCATTCAGACAAATGAGAGTTGATCTTTAGATGCAGGGACTGAGGAGCCATTCTGGAATGAAAGCCAACATTATTCATTCATTAACTGGGCGCACCCTAATGACGAGTTGGAGATCCTATATGGCGATGATGACTTGCACGGAGGTTGGAAGTTAGGAGATCCGTTATTTGTGCAACAAGAATTTGGGTCCAAACCAGAATTGCAACATGCTGTGAAGATACATTGTATGAAGGGGCGCAGGACAGCCATAGTTGAAAAAAGCGACGAGTCAAGATTTGTTATGAAGTGTAAAAACCATGCTGACGGTTGTCCCTCAGCAACGCCATCATCATCGTCATCATCATCAAGGCCTACATCATAAACCATGAAAAGCACATCTTATAAATACCACATTAAAAAATAAACAACACAAAATTGCATAAACTCATAAAGACCAACACATCACCTGCAGGTGCATCCTCCATCTCAGCATCGTGGTGGAATGGGATCTCAGGTGGTTCTGGTGCCTTCTTCCACGTCCAGATACCCGCTCTGTTCGGTAGGATCCCACACTGCTTCAGGAGCCTCTCACCAAATATAGCATTCCAGCCTCTGGCGGTCTTCAAGGTCTCTGTTGCCATAGGCACTCCAAATCTATGCAGAATCTTCTGCACTAGAAATGCAAAAGGCAATTCAGCCTTCTTTGACTTGGCTGCCTTCCACATCAGTATGCATATGTAACGCCTCCAGTTCACTTGCTGACTGTGAAGGAGGGCCCACAGGATGACAAAGTCCCCTTCCAGCACCTTTGAGTGATTATGCGGGCGCTGGAAAATAATATGTGTCACCACATAATGAAGAATGCGAGCAGAAACTGACAAGTTGCTCACAGGATAATGAGCAAAATGACCGGGCTCAGCGTCTGCCCTCCTAGTCTCTGTAACAATGGTCTCCCGGTTATAATCACCAAATATATGATGGCTGTCTCCATCATATAGTGCTGCTCCTGTGACACCATCAAAATCGAACCCCAGTAGCTCCGTCCAGATAGGAGCAGTCATGATGATATCAATCCCGCAGACACGGGAAGTCAGCTCGCCTTGCGAGTAGCCAAGGTTCTGGTAGAAGGCTCTTACCATAACCTCCGAGTATGGGCACCGCATCTCCGCCAGGTGAAGTAAATGTGTCTGCTCAAGAAGCGGCACAATGTCAAAACGCTCTAGGTTGAAGAATGCCGAATCCAGTGATTTCGGTTCGCGGATCTTCCGGGTCATGAAAAACTTCACGAACTTCTCGTGTGAAAGTATGTCATCCTCAAACAAATATCCGAACGTCAAGTCCGGAGCCTGACTCGAAGCAGCCTGGGGCTGAGAGGATGACGACCCATCATGACGACTCTTGGTTCTTCTCTCGGAATGGGTCACTGGCAGCTTTGAAACGCGTCGAGAGGTCATTGTGTCACAATATTAAACTGAAAAAATAACCAAAATCAGAAATTAGATACATGTTAGGGTTAGGGTTAGGGTTAGGGTTAGGGTTAGGGTTAGATTCAGGGTTAGGGTTAGGGTTAGGGTAAGCGTATGACATACAAATTGATAAAATAATTCGGACAGAATCAAATGATATAAACGAAAATACAATGAATCAGAACATAAATCATAACATAATTGAAAAAACTGAAAAAAAATGCACCTTTGATCGATTTCAATCGGTAGAAGGCAGAGAGGTTGCAAGGTCCGCGAATGATGATCAGAAACAAGACGAATTGGTGCAAGATTATGCCTGAAATCGCTCAAGAAGACACTCCTCCAGCAGCTCTACTCGGGTACCCCTTTTGTGGGTTTTCGAAATGGGGCTGCTGGGGTATTTTAAAACCCTACCGTCGATGTTTACCCGGGTACACTGCTCCATACCCGGGTAAATAATTCAACCATTTTCCCAGATTCAAGAACTCTACCCGGGTAGACCCCTACATACTCGGGTAGATAAAAATTTTCAAAAATTACCCGGGTAGGTAATGGTGTACCCGGGTAGGCTTCATGGTCAACGGTCAAACAGGGGCAGATTGGTGTTATGTTTGTTGGGGAGGGTAAATTTTCGAAATAGTTTTGAATGAAGGGCAATTTGATAATTAGTTATTGATTAAGGGTCATAAGGGTCAAAAAGCCGAACAACTAGGTATTATGTATTATGTTTTAGACGCTAAGATTATCATTTTAGGCCAAGGAAGTTTGTTACAATTATATTTGACCAATTCAAGAAGTTTCTGCTAGGATATCTTGTTGCTGTTATTGCTCTTATTTATTTTTACTCTGTTGTTATTTGTAATTTAACTTTCGTTAAAATAGGTCATGCTTGTTAATGGAGTCTATTTTAATGTTACTGGTTAGTTTCTTCAAGTTACAAATTTGTATTATCTATTTAAATCCTAAAGTATTGAAATAAAAACCATCATAGTAATTATTCAAAAGGCACCGTGTGCTAGAGAGGTCAAGCTTTGTCAATTAAGCTACCCTTTTATTTGTTCTGTTCTATATTCTTCTTATCAATTCTCTGTCAAGAAAGGTAAAAAGAGCAAAAGTAAGCCCCTCTATGTACCAAAGTTCCTCTTTTCTTTCAAGTTTTGTTAATTTACCAGAGTATTTTTTTAAAAAAAATAAATTAGAAAACATGAATTTTTATATTTGCCAATGAACAAGTTTATTCATAGCGCGATGGATAACTAGATATGAATAAATATGTGATAACATTAGAGCTGTTAAAACGGATCAGCTCGGTCCATTAGACTCTAGCCCATGTGGATTAGAGCCAAAACACCCACAAGATTAAATGACCCTCAATAATAAATGCCCATCTGCATGGGCCAAAGCCATATGGGCTAGGGTCAACCCGCTGGCCATTCAAAAATGTAATATTTATTTTTTTTTGTTAAAAAATTGGCTTAATACAATTTGGGCAGAATTGTATATAGTTTGTTACAGTTCTTTCAATTTGTCAGAATTGTCTAGTAATGCTACAAAAGCTCAATACAGCCATGATCAGTTTACAGAAACTCAGTACCCTTCTGTAGGAAGCCATGACCAGTTTCTGCCAGAGTTGTCTACTGAATTACCTAAAGCTCATTACCCCTTCTGCTAGAAGCCATGACCAATATTTGCCACAACAGTTAGTGCAACAAAAACTGAATACTCTTTAACTAGAAGCCATGATCAGAATTTATTCTGAGGTAATTCTTCCTATCTACATAATTTATGTACTCAGCTGCAGAAGCTACAAGTAAGTTGGAAGAAAGTTTGGAGTGTTGAATTGAGCAAGGTTGCTCCACTGGACTCACTAAAGAGTGTCTGCAGCCAATGACTTGAAGTTGCATAAAGC